CACACACACACACACACACACACACACACACACACACACACACACACACACACACACACACACACACACACACACACACACACACACACACACACACACACACACACAACACACCCACACGCACACACATGCTCCGCCAAACATCCGCAATTCCAGAGCGTCGCCCATATTTTTGCTGCAAAAACCTCCGCGAGTCTAATCCGCTGCATCATCCGCTGTTACTGTACGCGCACGCTGCAGCATCAGTACCAAAGAACGCTGTAACATATACAGCAGCACGCGAGCTAAAACGGGCGCTGGCGTCACGCCACGACGCCTGCCACTCTTGGCCCGTGGGTTGGTCCAATCCGCCAAATATGGGTAGCCGTGTATCTGTTCGGGTGGCGGCAGACCTAGATGGGCGACTCGTCGCTAACATGTGCTGCAAAATGCCGGCGTTGTCTCTCCGATGGAGCCCATCTAGGAATAATATGGAATTACTCGGCCTAGCGCTGCCAGCTGGCGTGCTAGCTTGGGTCTATTGGCTTGTGTGAAGCCAACGAGCATGTCCTCTGCGTTGCAGTGTTACTGGTTATAACTTTGTTTAGAACTGGGTTTGTGGAGTCTGGACAGGTGAGTGTTTCGTATATTGACTGATACGCACTGTTGTTATACTAGATGATTATGCGTTTAGAAAGATTTTATAGTGGTGTATATATGTAGAATGAACAAATGAACTTGTGATAGTTCTAAAGCTACCCTACGAACATGTCTTGCTCAGAAACCATCTTGGCTAAATCCGTGGTGTATGTGCTCAACATTTTCTATGCTCGTGTACATCTATCCGAGTATTAGATCTTAACCTTTCGTTATTATCATTATTGCCTAAAGGTTTCTAGGCTGCATTTAAGTGTTTTTCTAGGTGGATGGAAGTGCAGGGCTGGTTCCAAACAAACGGGGCCCAAGCACAGCCAGCAAAAAATTATACATAAATTGCGCATTCAATGCAATATGGTAGTCTGCTTGGGCAGTGACAAAACCACGAATCTCTATTTCTTCGTCTTCTCCCCCGGTATTCCATATACTGCGATTATGTTGCATAGCTTGGATTCGCAGGTCTGATATATATATATATATATATATATATATATATATATATATATATATGTAGTCTATAGTTCGTTGTGTGCAGAAACAGATCGACCTTCCAGTTTTCATCACAGAGACGTTCAACTCAATCCTTCATTCGTTAGTCATAACCATCGTGCTATGCCTGGCGCGATTTCCTTAACCATGCGCTATTAGGTTTTATTAGGGTCCCGTGTAAACTAGTTAGTAGCCAACACTGAGGGTCCAGTGTTGCTGGGGGCGGGCACAGCAAAGCTAATGAAAGGGTCGGACAGCTCGCTAACACCATATGATGCGACTGACGAAATTTCTCTATGAACTGTTTTCATATGATGGGTTTTCTACGTCTTGATCGCAATGCACGACATATATTTATTTCTAAACAAAATTGAATGACATCAGACGCAGAGAGTGTGCGCATACAGGCATGTCATGTTATTAGTTATTATAATTTAAAATGCAACATTGTAATCGATGTAGATTCATAGATATATGAATCCATTTTGAAGTACCATCAAGCTTCTTACGAAGAAGAAGAATGCATGGTACCTAATTATCATTTTTATTCGTAAAGCCTATTTGTAATTTATCATATCCGTGTTCAGGCAGTCATAGGCGGTCACTGCGCTGAGGATTTTGTCCCTATACCATATCGTGTATAATAATTAACCTTAATCTATGCATGATTATAAGTCCATAACGTATGGACTCATAATAACGAGGGTAGACACATGCGCCAAGTTCCTATACGTTATGTTATTATCAAGATTGTGTAATATATAATATAAAAATGTATAGATAATATATTCAATACAATACACTTGTTAATATTACAGTGATGTGATTTCGTACTCGCGCCTATTGTGTGAATAACAGCGTATAAAATCCCTGCAGTCGTCGTTATATATTCGGCGAGATGACAGCATACCGCGGGTTCGCGACAACACAAACAAACACGGCATCACCGGTAGTCTAGAAACACCGCGCAGCTGTTGACGTCATTATGACGCTATGAATATAGGCCTACGTGCTTCGCTACGCATCTCGTGGAGTCGGCTTCACATACAGTGGCACTGTAATCTGGTTGCTGGAATCCGCGATGTGCGCGTGCGTGGCAGCGTCCGAGCACGTCTGAGAGATGCGTTAGCTGAAGAGAAACGATTAACAGATTAATCATGCGTCGCCCACGTGTTTTTAATAAGCGCTACATCGTACATGCACGTGATTGGCGTTTACGATTACTTCGAATTTTGGGGATTCATGAGATATGACGCATAGAATGTTACCAAGAGCTAAAAATTTAAGGTATTATTAGTTCTTGGTATTAATTTACGAACTCGAGCTAAGTTTAGAGAATATATTGTGCATACCACAGATTTATCTGGGCAAGTTTTGTCACAAAGTTTCCCGTAGTTTTGACGGATTGTTCTGAACTGCCGAGTAGCTGTTTACCAAGTTTAACTAGCAGACGTTGATCGCCGAGTTTCGAGCGGTTCCCTCTCTATACGGAATTCTTGTACAAATAATCACGGCGAAGGCATGCGCTATTAATAGCACCAGCAGCCGTCTGCGTGGTACAGCAGTGCGCTTGTTTTGCTTCTTGTAAGTCATTACTTACGCAATCAGCTAGCTAATCGCAATTTATTATTGTTACAACATCTCCGACTTTAGAGTCTGGCGACTGATAGAACGTTCGAATCGACGGACAAATACTTTACATTAGCATTTAATAAATCTATATACCCCACTGCGTAACCTTGTGTATACCGTTCATTTGGCCGATGCAGTTAGATTTCATTAGCTGTACAAAAGAACCGTCGTTCCACTGGGTTTAAATTAGCAATAAGCCCTTGCGTTTCCATTATTTAGCTATCGCAACGTGCATGACTGAATGAAAATAGGTATAGCTACAAAATATGTGGTGCAGTATATACGTGTGTACTGTCGATCTCATTTGATTCCGAAACAAGACTTTGAAAAGATTATACCGATCATACAACAACAAAGGTTCTCTCTCTCTCTCTCTCTCTCTCTCTCTCTCTCTCTCTCTCTCTCTCTC